GCCTCTGCGCACAGGGCGCGAACCCCGCCGGCGGCGCCGCTGGCCCGATGAGCGCCCGGCCCGAGCCCAGCAGCTCAGGAGCCACCACAGGAGGGGAACCAAGGGGAGGACAGCCTGGCGGAGCCATGGCCATAAGCTCTCTTCCTTCTCCTCCTCCTGATCCTCGTCCCTCCTCCTTTCCCCACAACTACTGACCCTTCCTCCTCGCTTTCCCCCCCCCCTCCCCCCTCCTCCACCTCCTCATCCTTTCCCTTCACCTCCTCCTCCTTTCCTCCTCCACCTCCTCCCATCCACTTCCTCCACCTCCTTCACCCTTTCCCTCCACCTCCTCATCCTTCTCCTCCACCTCCCCCTCCTCCTCCTCCTCCCTCCTGCTCCCCCTCCCCCTCCCCCTCCTCCTCCTTCTCCTCCTCCTCCTCCTCCTCCTCCTCCTCCTCCTCCTCCTGGGATGAGTGGCCTGATGAGGAAGACCCGTGGGCTCGGGAGCTCAACCTCTGCCCTGACTCATCGTTGGTCCAGGCCCTCTCGCATGCCTCTGCCCGCCCTTAGGAGTCCATCGCTGATGGGTGTGTGTGGGGGGGGGGGGGACCGCCCCGATAGTGCTTCGCTGTCAGGACCCGGCGAGGTGGCCGCGCGTCCGCCCTTCGGAGGAGGAGGAGGAGGAGGGAGGCGGCGGAGGAGGAGGAGGAGGAGGAGGAGGGAGGAGGGAGGGAGGGAGGAAGGGAGGAGGGAGGCAGGGGAGGAGGGAGGGAGGGAGGAGGAAGGAGGGAGGAGGAGGAGGGAGGAGGGAGGACGGGAGGAGGGAGGTAAGGGAGAGGAGGAGAGGAGGAGGAGGAGGAGAGGAGGAGGAGGTAGGAGGAGGAGGAGGAGGAGGAGGAGGAGGAGGAGGAGGTGGAGGTGGAGGAGGAGGAGGAGGAGGAGGAGGCGGAGGAGGAGGAGGAGGAGGAGGAGGCAGGAGGAGGAGGAGGAGGAGGAGGAGGAGGAGGAGGAGGAGGAGGAGGGGAGGAGGGAGGAGGAGGAGGAGGGAGGAGGAGGGGAGGGGGCAGGAGGAGGAGGGGCAGGGGGAAGGAGGAGGAGGAGGAGGAGGAGGAGGAGGAGGAGGAGGAGCAGGAGGAGGAGGAGAGGAGGAGGAGGAGGAGGAGGAGGAGGAGGATGAGGAGGAGGAGGAGCGGAGGAGGAGGAGGAGGAGGAGGAGGAGGAGGAGGAGGAGGAGGAGGAGGAGGAGGAGGAGGAGGAGGAGAGGAGGAGGAGGAGGAGGAGGAGGAGGAGGAGGAGGGGGGAGAGGCACTCAGCGTGGTCACCCCGAACCGCCTCTAGCCGTGGATCCCCAGGAGCTCTCTGGACAGGCTGGGCCTCGCCGTGGAGCCCGAGAGAGCCAGGAGCCTGACTTAAAGTCGGGTCTGTCCCTCTACAGGAGGAATACGTATTCAAAAATAGTAAAACATTGTTGGGTGGACAATTGTGTATTTCCCAAACATCCTGTGGTGTTGGGTCCTCGTTTTGAAGAGACGTCGCCCCGCGTTCCTTCCTTCCTTCCTTCCTTCCTTCCTTCCTTCCTTCCTTCCTTCCTTCCTTCCTTCCTTCCTTCCCGCTGCACCCTCCCTCCTCACTCCTCCATTTCGGCACACCCCTCACACGTTTCGTGACCCCATACGGAGCTCCGCCGAAGGCCCCAGTGCTGCCGCCCGCATGCGTCCCGCACACCCATTTCGGCACACCCCTCACACGTTTCGTGGCCCCATAGGGAGCTCCACCGACGGCCCCAGTGCTGCCGCCCGCATGCGTCCCGCACACCCACTTCGGCACACCCCTCACACGCTTCGTGGCCCCATAGGGAGCTCCACCGAAGGCCCCAGTGCTGCCGCCCGCATGCGTCCCGCACACCCACTTCGGCACACCCCTAACACGCTTCGTGGCCCCATAGGGAACTCCACCGAAGGCCCCAGTGCTGCCGCCCGCATGCGTCCCGCACACCCATTTCGGCACACCTCTCACACGCTTCGTGGCCCCATACGGAGCTCCACCGAAGGCCCCAATGCTGCCGCCCGCATGCGTCCCGCACACCCATTTCGGCACACCTCTCACACGTTTCGTGGCCCCAAAGGGAGCTCCGCCGAAGGCCCCACTGCTGCCGCTCGCATGCGGCCCGCACACCCATTTCGGCACATCCCTCACACGCTTCGTGGCCCCATAGGGAGCTCCACCGAAGGCCCCACTGCTGCCGCCCGCATGCGTCCCGCACACCCATTTCGGCACACCTCTCACACGTGTCGTGGCCCCTATAGGGAGCTCCACCGAAGGCCCCAGTGCTGCCGCCCGCATGCGTCCCGCACACCCAAAACGGCACACCCCTCACACGTTTCGTGGCCCCATAGGGAGCTCCAACGAAGGCCCCAAGTGCTGCCGCCCGCATGCGTCCCGCACACCCATTTCGGCACACCCCTCACACGTTTCGTGGCCCCATAGGGAGCTCCACCGAAGGCCCCAGTGCTGCCGCCCGCATGCGTTCCGCACACCCATTTCGGCACACCCCTCACACGTTTCGTGGCCCCATAGGGAGCTCCACCGAAGGCCCCAGTGCCCGCGCCCGCATGCGTCACCACACCCATTTCGGCACACCCCTCACACGTTTCGTGGCCCCATAGGGAGCTCCACCGAAGGCCCCAGTGGCGGCGCTCACATGCGCATGCGTCCCGCACACCCATTTCGGCACATCCCTCACACGTTTCGTGGCCCCATCATCCACCGGAGGCCCCAGTGGCGGCGCTCACATGCGTCACACACACCCACCCAATTCGGCACACCCCTCACACGTTTCGTGGCTCCTATACGGAGCTCCACCGAAGGCCCCAGTGGCGGCGCTCACATGCGTCCCCGCCACCCATACCGGCACGCCCCTCACAACAACAGGCTTCGTGGCCCCAAAGGGAGCTCCACCGAAGGCCCCAGTGGCACCGCCCGCATGCGTCACCACCCGCACCCAATTCGGCACACCCCTCAAACGTTTCGTGTCCCCATAGGGAGCTGCACCGAAGGCCCCAGTGGCGACGCTCACATGCGTCCCCGCCACACATCCCAGTACACCCCTCACGCGCTTCGTGGCCCCATAGGGAGCTCCACCGAAGGTCCCAGTAGCGGCGCTTACATGCGTCTCCGCCACCCATCCCGGCACCCCCCCGCAGCAGCATCATGTTTCGGGGACCCATAGGGAGCTCCATTGGAGGCCCCAGCGGCGGCCCTCACATGCGTTTCCGCCACCCATGTCGGCACGCCCCGCGCGTGTTTCATGTCCCCATAGGGAGCTTCACCGAATGCCCCCCCCAGTGGCACCCATCTCGGCACACCTCTCACACGTTCCGTGGTCCTATGGGGAGTTCCACTGGAGATGAAACCCGCAGCTGCGGTACTGACAATTGCATATGGTTGGGTTCTTCGCCAGGCTAATTTTTATAGGTTTGCATATTTTGACTATTTTCAATGCTTCGTCCAAACCCCGCCTGTAGGGGGACATGCCCGACCTAAGCCTAACTTTGCAATCCCCTCTGGGTTGCGGATCGAATGCCGAAGAGCCGTGGGTTTCACGCCTGGTTGTTCTTCCCTCGAGTCCCTGGCTCTTGCATTCCGTGTGTCAGTAACCTTTGGGCTCAGACCAGGGCTGCTGGAGGCCGTTTCTGGCATTACGCCTCCTGGGAGTCCACTGTCGAACACCGTATTTCTCAGCATCACAGTGCAGATATACCTCAAGGGCCGCGTCGGGCTCAGGGGGTCAAGATTCACAGTGACAACGGTCAAGATGCCAAAGAAACGCCAGGCCTCACCACTGTAGGATCAGATTTCAGCGTGGTGGACCCAACTCCACAGCCTCTTACATGTCATAACGTCACATCGTGCCAGACACAATGGAACCAAGCAGTTGGACCACACCACCACCCGAGAGCCAGTCTCCGACATGTCGACGACAGGCCAGATGGTTTCGCCAAAGTTTTTACGGCCAACAAGGATCCGAGGTGGGAGGAGCAGTTGGCCATGGCCGGGAACGCAGGGAGCTGTCCACTGCCAGAGTTGCGCAAGTTCGAGGGGCATGCCATCCGTGTCGTGCAGCGTGCCCAGGGGCGCGCATTCCAGGAGCCGACCAGAGTTTTCAAGGATTTCTCCGCCCAGTCCGAGTCTATCGGTGTACTGCAGAAGTCCCTCCACGACCAGGCGCTCCCAGGGCTGGACTTCGATCACGGAGGACAGGTGCTATACCATCCCAGGGATATCGTCGATGCCAAGGCCAAATTTTGGAACAGTTTATGGTCACCATCCAGTTTTGACGAGGACGAGGCGATCCACACTTTCCAGTCTGTCCGTGCTGTCGGAGATGACAGACCGTTGCCGCCAACCACAGTCAGCGACATACGGCGAGCCCTCCGCAGGATGAAGGCCAACGCGAGCTTCGGGGTTTACCTGATGAAGGTTTGGCTGAATTGGCTCTTCTCTTCGAAGCATGTGATCATCATATGTGCTAGCCAGGCCAGATTTTGTTGACTGTTGTGCCGATGTTGCCGAAACAGCTTTCGGGTGACAGAATCATGGAGCCTGGTGCGCGAGCCCTTGGTCGGCCGAGACATAACAACACTTGAATGCGGCCATCTGCAATAACTCCAGCTTGCGCGAAGTTTTCAGGGTCCCTTGTGGCGAGCGGCTGATGGACATCCAGTTTTTCTTTGTTTCCATCGAGTGACCAGGTCTTGCCAACTGTGCGCTGGGATCATCATTCCTTGCGCGCGTATTGTATCTGGAGATGCTCATGTACGTCGCCACGAGGACGCTGGGACAGTTGTGGAGCCACCTCTCAACCCTTCCAGCCGACGCGGAGCATTGTCCAGGGCTTCCGTTCAGGGACTCTCTCCGAGCGGTGCCTTACACATCATGTATTGTCAAAGATCACAGTGGCCCATCCGAGGCTCAGTTATCGCTTCTGGGCGGATGACTGCTCACAATTTATACGTGGGTCACGGAAGGCGATTCGCATAAGTATTTCAGCTTGTTTCATTGCCACTTGCAAAGCCTTACAGGAGCAGAAGCTCCAGGTTTCGCCCAAGTCC